GCCAACCACTGCAACTTGAGTTTGATTTCAGGCCAGGGAGCTGACCCACAGGGCGCAGGACTTCTCCTGCCCACCGTCCCAGCAGTGTATTTCAGTAGATCTGCCTGTTCTGCTCCTAACTCTGTCTCCGGTAAATCCTCTCACCCCGCACCTCTGGCCTACACCCCCGTTCTCGAATGCATAAATAAATAAAAAGTATCTTAAAAAAAAAGGAACATCATGGGACAAGAGGAGATTAGGCGAAGGTGTGGTGTCATGAAATGATGAGACTTCCCACAAGTCCAGATGACTAATGTTATTTCTCAACTATTTTCTTTGACATAGCACAGGTCTCAATAAAACATGGCAACTTAGAAAAATGTGTCCTTAACCTCATTTTAAAGAGCAGAGAGTGAAAGTGAATGAAAGGAACCAATAAAAAAGCAAACATTTTGAGGAACATCTATGATAGGGTGATTTCACCTTATTCTTTATGCCTCTTTAATTTAATCTTCACATACTGATGAGAAAATTACGATTCAGAAGGGCTTACAACCAAGTTTTACATTTTGGTAGAGTAAGACAAATGAAATCTACCTGAATCTAAATCATAATTACTTTTTTTTAAAGATTTATTTTATTTATACAAGAGCTGGCGTACAGGCCAGAGGCACAGGAGAGGGTGAGAGAATTCACCAGAGACAGAGCGGGGAGCAGAACAGGTAGATGACCAAAAAACACTGCTGAGAGGAGCAGCGGCTGTGCCACTGGGGTGGCCCATAATTACTTTTTCTATGCCATATTCCTCTAACAGAAAAGTAACCAGGATGAAAATGTAAATATATGAGTCCTAAGTTAAAATTTTTAGCTGAATTTCAGGGGACTTTCTCCTTATACTTCACATATTTCTTGGCTAACTTTCTTTGCTTTTTGTTTTTTATTTTATTTATTTATTAGATTTATTTATTTATACAAGCACTGGGTACAGTTAGAAGCATGGGAGGGTGAGCAAATTCACCAGAGCCAGAGCGGGGAGCAGAGCAGGCAGAAAGACCGAAGTACACTGCTGAGGGGAGCAGCGGGCGGCAGGAGAGGTCTGCGTGCCATGTGGGACCCTCCTCTGGTGGCTGGGGAGCAGCAGGGTATTGAACCGGCGCTGCAGAGGCTGCGGGCAGCTTCACAACCCAGCGCTCAACCGCTGCGCCACCACCACCCGGGAGGCCCTGCTTTTTGTTTTTTAAATAAGCAAGAGGGAGCCTCCCTAGTGGCACAAGGGGTTAAGTCTCACTACTATGTAGCTATCTGCACCCACTGCAATAGCACAAGTTCGATCCTGGGCTAGGGAGGTGACCCACATGGTGCAGCAGACCTCTCCTGTAGTGCTGGCTGCTCCCCTCAGCAGTGTATTTCAGTAGATCTGTGTGTTCTGCTCCCCACTGTCTCTGGTGAATTCTCTCACCCCCTGCACCTCTGGCTTGCACCACAGTTCTTGTATATATAAATAAATAAATCTTTAAAAGAATTATTTAATCTCAGCTGTTTCTTTTTACTTTGTTTAGTGTAGTTACTAAGAAATTTAAATTACAAATGTGGTTCACTCTATTTTTCTGTTGGTCAGCACTGCTCTATATACTTGCAAATTATTTTTGTTTTGCAGCAATTTTCTATTTATTATTTCAATAATTTTGATAATATTGAGCTGATGCCAACAATGTCTACACCTACACCTACAATGTTAAAGTGTCTATACCACTTGAACATGAGAAATTATACTGTTAATTTTTCTAAGAAAATTATTTTATCACTGCGATAATTATGAGAAAGAAATACCTTTTATCAGGACTCCACTAATTCTACTTCAAGTCACTTGAAACTTCCAAACTTTCTACTGTCCTTGAAAAGAAAATATATACAGGGCCTCCGCTCGTGGCGCAGCGGTTGAGCGCTGGGCTATGAAGCCATCTGCAGCCTCTGCAGCGCCAGTTCGATACCCAGCTGCTCCCCGGCCACCGGAGGAGGGTCCCACATGGTGCGCAGACCTCTCCCGCTGCCTGCTGCTCCCCTCAGCAGTGCACGTCAGTCCTTCTGCCTGTTCTGCTCCCCGCTCTGGCTCTGGTGAATTTTCTCACCCTCCTGCGCTTCTGACTGTACCCACTGCTTGTATAAATAAATAAATAAATCTTTAAAAAAAAGAAAATATATATAATAAATAAATAATTGAATATTAAGTTTGTAACCTTCATTTAGATAACATTCAAAATAGTCTGACAACGGGCCTCCCCGGTGGCGCAGCAGTTGAGCACTGGGTTTCGAAGCCGACTACAGCCTCTGCAGCGCCGGTTCAAACCCCAGCTGCTCCCCGGCCCTGGAGGAGGGTCCCACATGGCGCGCAGACCCCTCCTGCCGCCCGCTGCTCCCCTCAGCAGTGTACTTCGGTCCTTCTGCCTGCTCTGCTCCCCGCTCTGGCTCTGGCTCTGGTGAATTCTCTCACCCTCCCACGCTTCTGACTGTACCCAGTGCTTGTATAAATAAATAAAATAAATAAACAAACAAATAAATAAATCTTTTAAAAAAAAAACAAAATAGTCTGACAACGTGAGAATAATCTAACAATAGCTATTCAAGTACCTCACAAATTTTGATCTATCAACCTTATAAAGATGCAAACAGTATAATTTTCTTTGAAATCTTTTTCCCACTTCTTTTCAGAATATTTTTTCACTTGAAATCACTGTCAATGTCTACCACACTTTAAGTTAGTTTCCATTGTAACTAAGAAATGAGATAGAAACCTGAAGTTCATGAATATACCTAGCATATTAGTAAATGATTAATAAATGTTAGTGGATTTTAGGACTACAGTCCTATCTCCACCTTACAAATAGAATACATTCTAAATAGTTCAGTTCTAAGTCAGTTGGCTCACATTTTCATATATATATATTCACATGCATATATTATATATGAATGTTTATGTAATTTAAAATAATACAGAAAGCTACACAAACATAGGTAGTATAATTTGAAAGTATTATTTCGAGATCAGGATATGGATACCAAGAAGTTTCTCCCCACTGGTGTCACAAGGGTTCCCATCCCAATCTGCTGAAGCACTAGTGACACTCTTAATCATATAGTAATCGCCTGATAAATTCTTTGTTAATTCAGTTGTACATGTCATTTCCGGTCTCTATGTTCTGAAAGATTCTTGGTATGAAAAGGAGAAACATAAGTAGGATAAAATGAAAATAATACATCTTCTCATATTTATAGAGCTGTATGGGAAGGGACTAAACTTATACTTTGTCGCCAAAGGATGAACAAAGACTGACCTGCAAATTACAATGACATATTTATTAGCCTCAGTATAAGAACTTTGTATAACCAGACTATTGAACAATGTTGGGATTTTTATGAAGTCTTTTTTGCAAAGCATGCTGTTCAGTTCTAGACTATCAGAAGGCTACATGATATATATCACCATCCTCAGAGCTACCTTAATTGAGATGATTTCGTATAGAACTCTCAAGTTCTTGAGGAATGGACTCTGTAATAAGCCAACTCTAGAAAATAATTAACTCCATCTGCTGTACAATTATTAAGAATTTTATATTTAGTGCTCCCTATGAGTAAACCCACCTATGAGAAATTTCTTTTAGAGCTAGAACATGTTTCTTTTCCTCTGGAATCAGGATCTTTTTCTTGCTAAAAATAAGAAAAATATAACAGGCTTCTTCAACCCAGAAGTTTAGAACCAAGTTTGACATTGAACTATGGGAACTTGATAGGTTCTGTGCAGTTGATGTCTTTTTTACCCTATCTTAACGTCCTACTATTTTATAAGATCTTTATTTATGAGCCCCTGATTCTAACTAAATGTTTAACATAAACACATAAATTTATTTATAAATGCCTCGTATCCCTTACAAATCAAGGTAGAGGGAGAATAAATGTTAATTAAGCTTTTTTTTTTTTGCTTCATATAATTAACTCCTATGAGTCCCTAATATCAAAATATCATGTGAAAGAGATGCACAGAAAGCTAAGAACAATACACAGAAAGCTAAGAAAAATTCAGGATTAGATGCTTGAATATGAAAAGTGATTGACTTTCATGAATATTTACTCACATTAATGTATTGCCTATGTAGTTAAATGCAACCACTTTGGTATATTGAATATATATAGAACATTTCCCACTTCTCCTTTAGAAATAGGTATAGGATATTCACTCCAATTTGTTCACTTCAGATCCATGACCAAATAATCTCTTTATGTCAAATAAATATTTTTTTTTCATGAGCAGGACACTTAAACCACACTTGCACCTACTAAACCCGGGTTTTATGTGAAAATGATTTCAGAGGACATTGGAAACCCCAGGTTTCTTTTTAATCCTCCAGTGTCTTTAGAAAGCAGTTCCTAAACTACCATTTCCATCACCCTTTTAATCTCTGCAAATTGTTGGTAAAAGCTGCATCAATTATGTTCACAATGGTAGCTCAATCATATATGCACTACCACTGATTATGCTAAAGAAATACTACATTTAAGGGATTCAGCTCTAGAAGACATCATTATACATAGGAGACTTTACGGAAAAATAAAACTTCTTGTGTGAAATAGTTCTCATTCAGATCTTTCCGAATATTTTGTTTACCTTAGTAAGCATACGAACCATAAAGGTACATAAAATAGTTGCTTTGTATTCTATAATCTAATTCCTAGAGCAACTTAAGCACAACATTCAACGTTAATATACCCTTCACAGTTCAAGAATTATTTATCCCATTAAAATATGACCCTTAAACAATTGTAAATTTGATTCCTCTGTCTTTTTTCACTACAGTATTAAAAAAATATCTTTCATCCATTGAGATCTACCATTGAATCTTAGGGTTATTTTTGAAAGCATATTTTGGATATATGTGCTTTCTATTTTGGAAAAGATGGCTACTTTAAAGTTATACATTTCTTCAATTAAATAATTACATATTCTTAAAGACATGTTGTATACCAGTGATAAGAGTTTTCATTCAAGCTGCTACTGATTTTCTCAAGCAGTTCTTATTTCTACAGCTTGGCATTTTTGACCCAATTTCAATAGCTTGTATACTTCTGTGAAAATTCCATTATTTCTAAAAGCAAAAAAAAAAAGTTTTAATCACCTTTTAAGTATTAGCCCCATAATTCTTTATGTAGTGCAAAGATAAACTTCCTTTGAAACTTAGCATTTCATTTTCAGAACTGAATAAACACTGAATTTATTGAACAGTTGGATCCCAGTATTAGTTTCCTTCATGAACTAGATTTCTGGAGGCAATAATTAGTAATTTTCAAGTCCATCAAATAGTTTGAGGTGGTTTAAAGGTTCATTAGGTTTTGGTTTTTGTTTTAAAGAAATTTTATCAGGCAAATTTTTATCAGTCAGGTTTATCAGTTATGGTACTCAATGTCTATATAAAATAATCAAATTATTCAATATGAAGCTTTTAAACTGCAAATTATGAAACCAATAATTAAATTATTTTAAATATATCAATATGAATACTGATTTATGAGATGAATGCTAGCCTACAGCATCAAGAATAATTCTCCAAACTGAATATAGATAAACATACTAATATCTGTCAAATATCTTGTCAACACTAGCAGTACACAGAAAAATAAAGCAAAGAAAATTGGGCAAATTGTCCTCCAATTATATTCTTTTAGTTATTTCTTCTAAAACATGTAAATTTTTATTAATAAGTGCAACAAGTAACCAATTCATCAAAATGTTAAATATTGGAGTTTCTGCTTACAATAAGTGATAGCAACAAAAAACCAATCACCTGACACTGATACTTCCTAGATAATTTACAAAATAATTTATAATGAATTTGTATACCTTAAAGGACTTGTCGGAGAAGCCACTTTACATTAAATTCACTGAATCTCCTAGACTTGGAAAATTTGACATCATGTGAGAAAAAATTATGAAAGTATAAACATGTATATATATACATATTAAAGGCTGTATGCATTCACTCTAATCAGGTATGTGTAGAGATATGGTATAACCTTCAGAAAGACTAGCTCCTCACACAAAATAATAAATAGAAATAGGATTTTGCTTAAAATTCAAGTTTCTTTTTCCCATAAAAGTCACTTAAGGACATTCCAAAACATGTTACATATGTCAAGGTTTTTTTTAATGTAAATGTCATTTGTATTAAAAGAAAGTTTTGGCCTTTCTATGTAAGCAACTATATAGAAATTTAAAATACACTTTGCTGTTTTCCCATTTCATATATTTTATTACTTACTCAAAAAAATGTTTAATTTTTTTAAAAACACAAAAAATGAAATTACTAGTTCATGATCACAATCTTAGGGTGAGGGAGTTGTGACATACTGCTCAATTTTCCATAATCAAATGTTATTCTCTACCATGACTGTTAAACCAGTATTACAGCTTGACCCTAGGAGGGGAGGTGTCTAGTTTTTGTTTTTGTTTGTTAGAAAGCATTTAATTATACCTATTATTATGATTTCAACAACGTCTTTAACACCTACCATTTGTTCTCACATTGTACTAATAATCACGTTAACTTAAAATGCATTCATTGCTCAGAAAAGTATTTTCAATCTAAAATTTCTGAATTTTAAGATTTTCTTAAGTAGAAGTTGTAAGAAGTTTGCATTTTGTGAAGAAAATATGAAAGGATGATTGTGTCACATAGAAATAAAGTCATAAACCCAAGTGTAAAATTATTATAAGCAATTCAAAATAATTGAAATAAACATTTAAAACAAAAAGTCTTTGAAAATTAAAAAGAAATAAGAACTAAATTACATAAATTGGTGAAATTAGCAATATTTGTAAATACTTAAACTTTGTGTTTCATCTCTATTGTAGCTGCTTCCTCTTTTTAACCTCAAATTTTGCTTCAAAATGGTAGTATCTTGACATGTTTCTTTATTTCTTCCCAAATGCGAAGATGATATTTGAAAATCCCTTCAAAAAAATGAGAATTTTATTAACCAAATTATTTCACAACTGTTTGAAATTAATCACAATATTGCAAGTGTATCATTTTTAAAAAGCATTATCTTCTTGAATAACAAGCAGACAGTAACATTTCAAACACAGTTTGTCTTTCTAAGGAAGTTAGAAATCTACTTGCCACCTCAGAAAAACAACATTTTCCTTTAAAGTACTGGCTGAATATGTAGGAAGGTTACTCAATGCCTCTCAAACCCCTTTCTCTGAGCTTCTGTCCAACAACAGAAAGTCACAAGTTTAGGAAGCTTCCTACTTCAGATTTTTTTTGGCCTAATATTTTTGCCCTAACAAAAATTACCATATCAGAAATTTTCTATAATTACCACATTTTCATCAGAAAGCAGAGAGCCTACTGAATCTTCCTGTTTAGGAAAATTTTCTGTCTCTGCCAGTCATTAATTTGTCACTGCTAAGTGTGATATATAAAATTACAAAAACCTGAACTTTGAAAAAAGCAAGGTAACCAAACATATAAAGCATACTAAAAGGCATATGCTTCAGGTGTGTGGACCATTCCAGAAGAAACAGACAAGAGTGTCTCTGAAGAGGGGCACTGGGAGTTTGGAGGAGAGGAGTAGGAGGGCTATCTCTTTCCACTGTGTTCTCTTTGGTAGTATTTGCTGTTGTTTTTTGTTGCTGTTGAGTACCAGCACTGTTTTTAAAGAAAGGAAAAAACCCAACAACAACAACAAAAACATTCCTCAGAAATAATTTCCTATGAAATCCAATCTAGTCAACAGTATTTAAGAATCTATTGAGTATAAATTTCCACACCTAATTTAGGCAGACAATGACTTGATGAAGGAATTTGATGGATAGCTTTAATGGAGTATGAATGGGCCTACTTTCATTTGTGACTATCTGTAAATACACATGTATACATACTCTAGACTACATCTGCTTTCAGAATACTCTATATATACCCACTAGTACTTCCAGGCATGTAATTTGGAGAGAAACAAATAAATGATGGGAGAAATGGTGAAAAACTGTGGAGTTTTCTTCAGAACTGCTCAACCTCCAGTGAAGGAGGTACTACTTTGGGTAGCAAGTTTCCAAGTAATCAGAACATAACTCTCTGCAGAGATATAATAAAGCACTTTTTATTCAAAGATGGGAGCCTTCCAAATGTAGATGCACCTGTAGCAGGACCCAACACAGTTGAAGAACAAAATAATAACTTGTAATATAACCACATGATGTGAACTTTTAGTTCAAAGTTCTTTAAAGTTCTATAAAAGAATTACAAGATGAAGTGTATAAACTGAAATAGTTATCACCTGGGGGAAGAATCCTGCCATTGTAAACACTTTTTCCATTTAGGTAACTATTTGACATGAAGATTATTACAGTAAATTTAATCTCTGAAACACGCTAGAATCTGAAAAATACAACACATTTCACAAGTGACTTTTATATCCATAGTGCTAATAACGATTTTTCACTTACCCTGTTTATCTCTGAGGAAAGTTTGAAATGAAAGATTTCTACTATCTTCTAATTTAAGCTAACACAAGTGAACAATACAGTTTGAATTAAACCAAAATATAAAAGCCAAACTGCAGTTTTTAGAATTCTAGCAATTTAAATATATACATTAATGATTCCATGCGCATCACTAGTCTGGGGGTGGGGGGTGTACACAATTCCAGTGCAGATAAGGACGAACACCTACCGCAAGCGTTTCAAGTGCCAGAAAGACCTGTAAAAGTAACAGCGTGTTAAAATTGTGGCAATGCTAACCTCACTAAGTCAATAACTGAACTCTCTACAGGCAATTTGTATATTTTGTTATTTTTGCCTTTTAAAATATTACTTCTTGCCCCTGCCTAGTTGACACTCTCTCCCCACAGGTGACTATAGTGGTCCCTTCCTCTACCCTCACCAGAGAAAAAAACAGATTCCTTACAAAACTACACTGAAAGGAACAAAACTGTTTAAAAAACAATAAGGGCAAAACCACAGAGGATATTCCAACCGAGTAACTGAAATCAAACAGAAAGGAATAAGTAACACTGTTCTTGCCTTTAAAACATGTACTGGTAGGTTAAGCGGAAATCATTTTCACACATCCTTTAGTTTAAAAAAAAAATAAAATCCTGCTTTAAAAAAGCACTCTCCTAGTGTTTCTTTCTCCTGTCTCAGTCTCCAGAAAAACTTAAAAATCCTGTTTTTGTGTCCCCATTATCATTGTTTTTATTGCAAGATTACTCTCAAAATTTAGTAAGGTTGGCACATTTCTTTTGTCTTATTCCTCAGAGTGTTGAGCATTTGGTGGAGATTGCACAATATCTATGCTTTTCTTTGCTATATAGGTAAATTTGCAAGTCAAAAGATGAAAGTCGGTTTATCTATGGTTTTGTATTTTCACAAGAAGCTACCATTTTCACCTGATTTATGCAACCATTTCACATTCCTTGAACAGGTTACATTTTTCTAACAACAACAAAAAAACCCATATCAAACAGCTAGAAATACTTGAAATTTCAGGGTTTTCCCGTCTCCTCTTCTTGATCATGGCAGTGCTAGGAGCCTGAATTCCTCAGTTTGATATTTACTTTCTTTAGAGAGAACGAGGAAAAAAAAAAAAAAAAAAGCAGACGGAAAGAAAACTGAAAAGAACTTTCCAGGTAAAAACTGAGCAGAAAACATGATCGCAAATAAAAACATACCCTCTTCCCCGTATCCACCCTCCATTCCCACAGAGGAAGAAAAAAACCCAGAATACTTACAAGTTAGCATCTGTGTGTTTGTGAGTGTCTCTATGTGTGTGTTTTCTCTCTTCTTTGGATTTGGATACTTTGAGCTAATTTGGAAGTGCCCGTTTGGTTGCCCGCAAAATGATGCTTAAGAGGCTAAAGATGCATAAATTAGGACTCCTACAATGGCAGAGGACGGTCATTGTACCTCTCCTCTTTATGCGCTCTTATCGTGGGACCCAAGAGCTTTTTTTTTTTTTTTTTTTTTAACACTTTAGACGATGGAGCAAGCGAGCGAGGGGCTGGCGGCCAGAGAGGACAGGGCGAACTCTTGCACACACTCACTCACACACACCCCAACTTAGCTCTACCCCCTCCCCAATTAGCCCGGACTTGACTAAGAAGTTCCTGCAGGAAAACCCGGGCGCGGGCGCAGAGGCGCGCGGTGCCTGCACGTCCAGTCTCCGCGCGGGCCTCGGGCTGCCTGTCTCCGCGGGACTGGGGTAACTGCCGGAATAAAGGCGGGAAGCATGGAGCCAGGAAAGGGGGGTGCTCTTTTCCAGAAACACCCAAATGCCCCCTCTACCTTTTTTGCCTCCGTTCTGGGGGGTGGGGGGGCGCGAGAAAAAGATGTCAATGACCATTGTTTGCTCGTTTGGGAAGTTGCTCCGCCCCTCGAGTCTGTCGTAAACCTGGCGCCGGACTGAAATAAACCCCAGCTCCCGCAGCTCGGGGGCTCGCCACCCGCGGACAGCTCGTCACAGGCGCTGCCGCCGCGGCCGAGGTGGCGCCGACGAGCGGCCGCCGCGTCCCGCCCGCGCCCGCCCGGGCCCCCTACCTGGCCGCCCGCCGCGCCATGTCGTTGAGCCCAAGCACACGACGCCCTTCTCCGTGTCCGACATCCTGAGCCCCATCGAGGAGACCTACAAGAAGTTCGGCGGCGCCATGGACGGCGCGCCGCCCGGCCTGGGGGCGCCCCTGGGGGCCGCGGCCGCCGCCTACCGCGCCCCGCCGCCGGGGCCCTCGGCGCAGGCGGCCGCCGTGGCGGGCATGCAGCCCCCGCACGCCATGGCGGGCCACAACGCGGCGGCCGCCGCGGCCGCGGCTGCCGCGGCGGCCGCGGCGGCCGCCACCTACCACATGCCCCCCGGCGTCTCGCAGTTCCCGCACGGCGCCATGGGCGGCTACTGCAACGGCGGCCTGGGCAACATGGGCGAGCTGCCCGCCTACTCGGACGGCATGCGGGGCGGCTCGGCCGCCGCGGCCACCGGCTGGTACGGCGCCAACCCGGACCCGCGCTACTCGTCAAGTGAGCGGGGCCGGCGGCGCGGGGCGCGGGGCAGGCGGACGGCGCGCGGGGCCCGCCGCGGCCGGGGCGCGCGCGCGCGCGGGGCGGGGAGCGCCGGGCCGGCGCGGGGCTCTCGGGGCGTCCCGGCACGCGGGCGCGGGCGCGCGGCGGGGGGCGCGCAGGGGGGCGCGGGGCGCGGCGGGCACTCGCGCGGGGTGCCGGTCCCCGGGGCGCGCGGAGGGTGCAGGGGCCGCGCCGGAGTCCCGCGGGCGGCGCGCGGGAAGGAAGCCGGGGGCGACGGGAGCGCAGTGCCCGAGGCTCTGGCGGTCACCAGGCTCCCCCCTGGGCTCCTCTCCAGTCTCCAGGTTCATGGGGCCGTCGGCGGGCGTGAACGTGGCCGGCATGGGGTCGCTGACCGGCATCGCCGAAGCCGCCAAGTCGCTGGCGCCCTTGCACGCGGCGGCCGCGGCACCGCGAAGGAAGCGCCGCGTGCTCTTCTCGCAGGCGCAGGTCTACGAGCTGGAGCGGCGCTTCAAGCAGCAGAAGTACCTGTCGGCGCCCGAGCGGGAGCACCTGGCTAGCATGATCCACCTGACGCCGACGCAAGTCAAGATCTGGTTCCAGAACCACCGCTACAAGATGAAGCGGCAGGCCAAGGACAAGGCGGCGCAGCAGCTGCAACAGGAGGGCAGCCTGGGCCCGCCGCCGCCGCCCGCCTCCCCGCGCCGCGTGGCCGTGCCGGTGCTGGTCAAGGACGGCAAGCCTTGCCAGAACGGGGCCGGCACGCCGACGCCCGGCCAGGCCGGCCCGCAGCCGTCCGCCCCGACGCCGGCGCCCGAGCTGGAGGAGCTGTCGCCCAGCCCGCCCCCGCTGCACGGCCCCGGGGGCGGCCTGGCGGCCCTGGACGCGGCCGCCGGGGACTATGGCGGTGGCGTGCTCGGCGCCAACCTGCTCTATGGCAGGACGTGGTGACCGCGCGGGCGCCCGGAGGCGGGGTCCTGCCTGCGGCCCGATGGGTCTGCGGGGAACTGCGAGAACGGCTGGGGGAACCGTACCGGCGCTGATTCTTGTGTACAAAGCGATCAAAAAACGGACGGGACGTGGAGAGGGGGCAGATCCTCTTTGCTGAGGGAGGGGGACAGCGACAGTTCCAGGACCTAATCTTGTAACATCACACCGGGAAGCTTCCAGATGACGGTCTCCTCCTTCCAGACCTTCTCAAATGATGTGAAAAGCTGGCTGAATCCACATCCACCAAGTTCCTAACGAAAGCTCTCGAGAGTTTTAGAAGTTGGAAACTTTGTTGTTTGTAGCTCTAAAAATCAACCCCAGCTTTCACAGTGAATCCCTTTTGAAGTGAACTTATCTCGGGAGATTAATTTTCGAAGGGCCCCCCTTAAGTGCAATTTCATTAATGTTTGATTGAAATTAAATTGAACTGTGGCTCAAGGTGGATCATGCACATAGCAACATTATTGCAGAGGAACTATTGCCATTTAGGTAATACAGAAATGGAATAAACATAATCAAAATACTGCTTATATGGATCGATATAGCTTTTTAAATTTAATGCGATTTTTAAATGTTTTGATCATTACTTGCAAGAAAGTGTTGTATATTACCCTAAAGGGGGATTTTCCGCCCTAAGGTTCAGCTCATCATAAGAAAGAAGGTTGTAAGCTACTTTTTGTATGGAATCTGGTCTCCCAAAATCAACTGATGAAATAAATATATCCTGTCCTTCTGTAGACATGTTATTTACTCATTCTAAGGCATTCACTGAATTTGAATATCTTGATGAAACTAGAATAAGCAGCAAAATTGCTAATATTGACATCAGTTAATCTATTTCAGAGCATGTCAAGAAGGAAGATAAGACAATTTGTTGAATTGTAACCAGGACATAAAGAATAAGTAACTAAGATATAATTTTTCCATCATATTTCAAACTTATAGGGACTGCACACCAATTTTGTTGGTGTTTTATTGTACAAAATAATGTATTTACTCTTTAATATGCCAATTTATATTTCCTATGTTTCAAATGTATATTTAAATATAACTTAAAAGAACCTTAAGCACTTACTTGGTAAAAGTCAAGTGGTCATTTCTTTTTCACTAAGTTGTACAGGCTTTGTTTTGGCTTGGTTTTTTTTACACTAGTTTGCATGATATGACAATACAACTCAGTTTACTCTTGATTTCAAAAACTGGCATAAAAAAAAGAAATATTGGCGTTGGAGTAAAGATACTAAAAGAAAACTGGGGAAGTGAACTTACAAAAATCAATGAAAATTAAAGACATAACACGGATAAAACATGATTTTTAAATGGTCAAAACCGTTTCTGAGACCCTGTATGTATAGTTTGAGAACTAATTTGAAGCTGAAACAATTTATTTCACTTCATTGTTGGGGTGTTTTTCTAAATGTGGGAAGTGAATCATTAGGAAGGTGTTTTAGAAGTTACAACTTGCACTTTCTCTGAACTATTTCATAAATTAAAAAAAAAAGAAAAAAAAAAGCGCTCCAGTCCCTATAGAGGGAGAAATAAACTACTTAGGAAGCAACAGGATCAGACTTTATCAAGGGGCTATGAATACATGTTTGGAAAATGAGAAGCAATTTTTAAAAAACATTTACATTAAAAATAATTTGAGCAGAGCAATTAGTGAAAATGGTACAATAGAGCTATGAAAATTCTACTGCTTTAGGTTTTTGCATGTTAATAATTAACTTTCAAAATGTTAACCAAGTTACCATAACGATTACTGATTTGCCAATTTCAAAATGCTTGTTAATATTGATTCCCTCACACTAGTACCAGAAGTCTGAAATTTCACTTCTAGAATACATCTGATGATTTGCAATACATATTTTTTACAGTCCAGTACTTAACAAAAGCAATACTAGCTTATAGACTAACAAAAGCAATACTAGCTTATATCCAAGTAACATATATAAAGAAAATAAATCTTTATGGATAGTTTTTTCCTTGATAATTTATTTCCAGAATCAAAAAATGTCTTAAACTAAGTGAACTCTCTATCAAAAAGACCATTATGATGAAACAGCCTTCTTTATACAATATTTCCTGCAAGTATATTTGGTGTGGGCATGTTTTTATTCCTTTCAGCATTCCTTTAAGTAGTAAAGGATTCAAGCCAGAAATAATTGCTGCAGAGGCTTAACACTCTATACCGAGAAATGTACTGAGTTTATGTCTAGTTTATGTCTATACATCCTGAAATTAGGATGAAGTTTAATTCTTGAAACATTAAAACAGAAAATGTTTTTACTATAGAATTACACATTCTGATTAATGCAAAACAAGTTTTTTTATTCTTTTGAAATTAGTGCTTTGCAGATCTTTTATAAAAACACAAATGGCCAGACTAGGTGAAACTCATTAACTGAAGAGGAGGATAAGTGTCTTCACGACCAAGAGGGAGGACTGACACAGGGTCTGAGTGGAACAAAGCCCCCTCAAAGTTTAATAGAAGCCACAACAAAACTCGGCTTCAGAAAAGCAGTCTGCAAGATGTGACATTTTTCAAAATATTTTGAGGTTTAACAAAACTCTAACTTATCTTTTCTAATTGAGGCACAGAAATCAAAATCCAGAATTGCAGAGAGGAAACAACAGGCATTGCAGGTACTTTTCTATAATTTGTGTTAGGATGTAAATTGAAGTGTGTGTGTGTGTGGGTGGGTGTATGTGTGAAAGTGTGCAATGTTGAAGGACACAGTAAGGGTGTTTTATGTATGGAAGGTTGTCTTGTGTTTAAGGCTTTGCTTACAACTAAAACCTAATGGTCAAAACAGTGAAAGAGACTTTTATCAACACAGATGTTGTGTTCAAACTCCATTCTGCTAGGGATTGTTTACTTTCAATTTAAAGCAAACCAGAGACTCAATCCTGTCCACTAAATGCAACCACCTTCCAAAGACTTGCTTTGTTAACTGCATAGAATACTTATGATTTAAAAAACTTTCATAATAAGTTTGTAACCATAATCACATAAAGACCCATTGATTGGACTTTCAGATATGAATTTGTACGCATGAGAAAACAGTGCATTGTAGTGGCAATGTAAATTTCAAATGTAATTCAAAACAGGAATGCTATTGCCCAACTGTGTAACACAACAGTAACAAGTGTGGATAAGAACCTTAGTTATTTTCAGTCCAATTAAAAAAAATACATTTACTTGTCAGGCTCAAATCCAATGAGACAGGGAACTAGGATACATATTATATATCAAAAACAAATATAGCCATTTACTGCTAGTGAGAATTGATGAGCATCTGGAGGATATTCGAAGGAGACTCATGATGGACTGGGAACAGCAACCACATCTGGGCAGGAATTTGTTCTTTCCAGCCATTATTAAGATAACTGTGATTTCAGGACACCTTTTATTGTTTTTAAGTTAGGAGGCTAATGGAAGCTTCTAGGTGTCTTTTTGGTTTTACTCGTTTTTGCTTCAGAATTTTACCTGCACTTGAATGAAATACCCTCTATTGCAGTTTTTAAAATATCCCATGTAACCTCGTGTTCAGTAATCATTTAGTGACTTGTAATAAGTTTAACCACTAGTAATGGCTAACTCTAACTTGTGCAAACTCTTTTGCAAGCTCTATTCTCATCTCACAAAAATTAAACGTGTTCTTTCTTGGCCCTCATTCCATAAATAAGCTATTGGCAAGCAAACAAAACATGCATTTTATTAGTATGTTGCCTTTTTTATCCTTGGTTTAAATGAAAGAGCAGCTGACCGCTAGGACTAGTCTGGCAGGATCCCCGCTCCATGACCTGGAGTGGGCGGCAAGAGGCATCCCAAGAGCAGAGCGGACCCGGCTGGACGGAGACAGCCAGCCACCCCTGCCGCGGAACAGGGAGTCTCAGTTGACATAGATGAATAGCTAAAATTTAGATTTCTACGCGTAGCTAAAGTCGGTTATGGAATTAAAAAACAGCAGCCTTGTAAGGAAGAACATTTGCATTATTTTCTTACAGGTTCGGTGTTTGCGTTCGTGCAGGGCAGTTGAGACGGTGAACCCCAGCGGGTTGAGAAACTGCGAGGGCGCTCCAGAGAACCTAGGGACGATGCTGAGTGCTCGGATCTGGTCTGGCGGCGGCAGAGACACACAAGTCACCCTGAGAGTCTGAGGTCTGAGCTTTCCCACGCCCACCTCGTTCGACTTCAGCCTCCAGCGAGGCTCCGCGGCGGAGGAGCGGAGGGGTCTGTGGCCCGCGCGCGGGGCGCGACCTTTGCAGGGTTGACAGAGGACCGCGAGTAGGAGTCCGGGGTGCCAGGCACACGCCCCACATGCTCCGAGAGGCCGGCGCTTCCTGACCCCATGGGGAAAACAATAGATCCGCAGACGAAGAACTTTGCCCTCAAAAGACCCGTTCTGTGCCGGCCACGGCGGCCCGCAGTTCCCGAACGCCGCCACCACCCGCACCGGGTGCGAAATCTAAGAGACCAGCGGTGGGAAACTCAGTGGAGGTGCACCCGACCTCCGTTGCGCACGAAGGGAAACAGTTCTGGACCCTCAGTCCCACTCAGGGCTGCCCCCGACGTCCCGCGTCATCGTACGAAGATTAATCTATGGGTCATTATATCTAATTTGCCTTTGTAAGCGCTAAACGGCAATCTCGGTTTGTAGATGGCTTTGTGCTTTAATGTGCATTACCGAACTTGGTCTTTAAAGCGACAACTGCTCGTTAAGGGCCCTTAGTGCCACAATAAAGTCATAATCTGTTTCCAGGTTCTACGATTTTGAAGAATCTGTAATATGAGAAGTTGAAAAACTATGTCCTACTTTAATATAACGGGGTTATTTTAAATTGATTCGTTGACTTTAACATCAGGATGTGGAAGTAATGTTTATTGCTTTAACTATTTTAAAGTTCGAGTTTGCTTAAATAATTGCATTTATTTTTTCTAGGAAAAGGAAAATTCAAAG